TACAAAAGCTAAATAGTTACGCCTTTGCTTATGCAGTTATATAATATATATGATTTATAATATAATTAAATAATTAATAACGACTTAAATGGATTTTTGAGTTTCTATGAATAATTCGTCTATACACTATATCAACAAATATTATGAATAGGTAATATATATATATATTTAATACACTCAATATTTGAGAATATGACATTGTAACAGCAATTGAATTGTATTATCCTAACGATATCAGATATCTGCAGTGTCTTTGAGATTTTGTAGTAATAATACATAATTAATATCACGATTTTTAACTATTGTGTTTTACTAACATCGTATGAACCCTAATTAAGAGTATATAGTTTAACTATATAAAATTTGCATATTACCGCAATTTATTATTGTGAAGTAATAAATTGTAACTTAGTTTTAGTTTGTATATAAATAATATAATCAACAATATCGTATTTTAAAACTTTTTCTAAAAAATATTATTTATAATCAAGGAGTTTCTGACCCCCCCCCCTACTATCACATTTACCTCTGTGTGTGTTACATAATATGTAATTTGAAGATTTGTATTAAATTTCATTGTACAATATTGTCAGATAAAAAAAAAGAAAAAAGAATATAAGATAACAGATAATGTCGCCTATGGGTAATGGGCCCTCATCAGTTACCAAACACAAAACCCCTCACTTCAAACAAACATTATTGATGTTATTATCATCGCTAATTTTAATACAATTATTATCTAATCATACGTAAAATATAATATCAAGTTTCGCATACGTAGCATATGTGCTGTGTCATTCCATTTTCGGCACAGCTAAATGTACGGCACAAATATTCCCTCTATATGGCTTTTCCACCCCAAACATTTTTCACCATACTGGACGATTCCATGCCATCCCCGTTAGGATTAAAGGGATTAAATTTTTGAAATTTTTTTCATTACATTTTAAATGCAACGGCGTCGTTTTTCATAACAAGTAGACGAATATTACCGATTTAAATAACTGCAATCCACCAGCGAGTGATCCGCCCCAGGTCAGCGTATTATAGTGCAGCCTAAAAATATAATTATTTCATACCTTTTTATTTGGATTTGATCTTCCTACGCGTTGTATTTATTACTATTATTAAAACCGAATTATAACTATAAGAAAATTTCCAAATGTTAAAATAAATAATTGTGAAAGAAAAATTCCCGTTCAGGCGCGAAAATTAAACACTGGAATAGTATAAAAATATATACATAAGGAGGGGAAAAGAGCGTCCTATATTTATAAATATATTATCTATTACGTATAGTTAAATATGTGAATGATGAATAATTTATTAATTTGATTTATAATTGAAAAAGGTTTTTATTAATTACGCTCAGGTCTAATTAATTTGATTGGGTGTGATAATAATATTATCACTGAGAGCTGAGACTGCGCTGCTAGTCCGGTGATTTCATTTCATTTTTTTCTTTTTAAATATTATATTATACCTACCTCTAAAAGAGATGCTTAATAACATGTACAAAGTATTTATTGAACCTTGAAACTTATTCTGTTGTGTATTCGAGGCGTGTTTTTATCTCGAATATAAGGGTGTAAGTTTTTGAACTATAAGGCAGACAAAAAGTAATTTTAATAAATGGCAATATTTCTTCRATACTGCTGTCAAACAGCAAGTTGAGAATCATTCTTCCATGCAGTAGGATTTGTAACCAAACCAATTAAATTCGTTTTCTATACATTGTTTACTTTATTCTTAAAATGCAATCAAATCATTCGTATTTTTTCTCGTCTTATATATGATATAAATTCAACCCCACTCACAAAAGACCCTTTTTATAAGAAACTTTATAATTGAAAAATGTTTCTTTTTAATTGTTTTTTTTTTTTTTTTCAAGGCAATTGTCGGACAATCAAATTCATACGATTGAGAAAGGAGCTTTTAAACATCTTGATCGATTGGAACGATTGTAAGTGTATTACCGTCATATATAAATACATATTAATTGTAACTACATAAATATTTTTTCTCGTCATTAATCGTGTTCGAATATAATWACAATCTTTGCGAACACAATGGTCGTTAATTAAACAGAATTATACCATTATAATATATGTGTGTGTATCCTATACGGCTATACACATAAGTATTGCTAAGAATATTAAGACGCTTAAAGTTAAAATTATATAATATTATTACAATATGGAGTCGTCGTCGAGTTGAGTAGGACTGAAATTAAAATGYCAAAAGCTACTGCTCGTGTTAAATGAGTATGCATACGTAATCCAACGCATGAATAAAAGTGTGTGGTAGACATCTCGACGTTTTGACAAATGAAGAACGTMATAAAAAAAATATATATATATGCTTATCGAATCAACTACCCGTGTGGCTATAGAACATTAAGAATAATTTTTATAATATAGTGCTTGTTTGTATAGTTTTGGCAACATTTCCTCGACATCAAAAGTWTATTGTTTGTGAAATATGTAGATGCGTAAACAAAGCTTGAAAACAAACGATATTATTCATTAAAGATTAACTTTAAGTACTTATAATTTGTATACATGGTATTTACAGCTTTCGCATAAAACGATTTTCGTGGTCTTAAAATCGATACCTCGTACAATTATAACTACGATGCCGTGAATATCTAACTTAAGAATACAATATACAATTATTATAATTAATGGATTCGATAAAAACTGAAGTATACTTAGTAGGTACTACGGCACTGTGCAGGGTAAAAAAAAAATTCTCTCGATGAAAATCCGATTGATTCCAATATTCCATCACCGGTTCTGCACATTTGTCATTGAAGTTTGGCCATCAGTGAGGACGATCGATTATAAATTATTATTTTAAAAAGAAAATTAATCAATCATTACGAAAAACTGAAATGAGAATAAAAAATGATTCTCACCGTACACAGGTCGATATCAAGTGGTTGATATCAAGTAATAATATATGTGTGTGGGCTGTAGCAGTAGTTGTGATTTGCACCTACCTATACATACTTGCGTCTGCTGCGGACCWAACGTTTCGGTTGTTCAGGACATATAGGTAGGTAAATAGTAGAAACCGTTTAAAATGACACCGGTTGTAGTGAAATGCCAGGTTGAGTAAGCTAAAGTTAAAGATCTCGGCGAAAAACTTAAGTGAATATGTTTTAATACTAAATTTGATGGATTATTATGACGTTCTTATAATGATCATACGGATATAATATAAGATGTTTATTTTTTTGTGAAATTTGACAAATATTACTTTTATAACGACCACACAACATATAGTCCATGTTAACGATGGTTTATGACATATTTAAATTTTAAGATAAGAGAAAATATCAAACAATCAGTGTCAAGTTATGTGGCTATAAATTATAATAATATACGTATTCAAAAACAAAATTTGAAAAAGTAGAAACAATTACATTTTTTTTCTGTGTACCTACCTGTATTATATAAGGGGCATGCTGTTAGATGTTTTTCCACTGCAAAGAAAATTGAGGAATCAGTAGGAATTTAGTTTTTGAGTATAGTTTAATGGAAAATATAATAGTATAATAATTCTACATTTTGTTAGGAATTTATACGACAGTCAACAAAGTATTAAAACAATTGGTTAGAAAAAAGTTACACCCAATCCAAAAACATATCTATAAATATTTTTWAAAAAGTAAAGGAAAAATGTAGTAAATACACTTTACTTTTTAATGATAATGACTTAAGTGATTTAAATAATACAACGAGATGGTATACTGTTYTGTTATGATTATTTATTTTAATTYCGATTGTTATGACTATCGGTTATTATACCCTATTTTCAGTCGTTCTTTGGATGTCATTATAAACAATATTTCTACTTCAATATAATATAATATCGATAAACTCCGGTGTCACGAAAGGGTGTGGACAGATTTCAACAACTGCGCAATTTGTCATGAATGGACCCCGTTGATTATTTACGACGCAATTTCCGCGTCCTATTCGCCGGCGGGATCCCCTGAATTTTCCGGTATCAACCGACTACCAATGATACCACACAAACACACACACACACACAATACCATCCCCCAGCAAGCCCTTATGTGCTCGCTTATACCGCATGCTAAAACAACCAATGGCTAATTGACTCATAATTCTATACACGAATATAATATGTAGATCATATATTATCGTCCAATATATACACATCAGAATTCTAAACAATGAAGTGATGTGTACACTGCACAACAAACGTGTCCATGAACAGTATACATACACAACACATAATAAACAGAGTGGTTCACCGAGTATGCTTAAMCCCCTATTTAAAAACAAAACCTATTAATGATATTTTTTATGAATTTTTATTTTTAAAATTTTTAAATATACATAAAGATAATTTTTCCAATTCTTGAGATTTATCGTACTAGGATAGTGTCCATGCACAAACTTCTGTTCTTAAAATGAGTATCCTCCACCCTTTTTACTATAAATTATTTAGTAAACATTTTTTTTTTTAACAATTTTATATTAGTCCTTAAAATTAGTTTGACAATATTATGAATTAGATTCAATATTATTTTAGTATATATTATATTTGAACCAAATTTATGAACTATAAATATTAATAGATTATCAAATAAATTACTAAAAACCTATCCATCATATTATCCTTWGTATGTTAAGTAAAATAATACAAAAACTGAAAAAATGTAGGTTTTGATGCGTAAACTTTTTCAGAAAAATTATCTAATAAATTATCTACTGTATAAAAGTCATATGTTATAATTTGAAAAACAGAAGTTRTTAAAYCTCCGGGATAATCTTAAAGTAGTACAAACATCTTAAAATTTTAAAATCTCAAAATTTGGTCTTTAAAGATATTTAAAAATTCAAAAAAATCAGATGTTGTCAAACCTGCATTTTTGACGTAGATAAAGAGAGTGGAAATGCTTGGTGAATTGCCCTGTATACCTCACATATTAACCGCACAGGGTGATTACTTTAACGTTGTACTTATCATGTCAGCTGTCAATTAAAAACCGTCTTCATCACTTGTTAAAAACAGCTTTGTAATCAGTGTAAGTATTATTATAATTAGAATTGGAATTTTAATGCATATAATATGTGTTTTATCTTTCTATAATCTGGGATTTCTGGCCATAATCTATACGAATCGCAATAGTTTCAAGCAATAATGACAACAATTTTTCTTGCACATTTCCGCTMAATATTTGATGATTAATACATATAATATTATTAAGCTATGTTGCTTTAAAATTTTATAGATATTTAGACAAGTGGAGTATCATGCGAACCGCTCTRTATACGTTGGTACGTTATAATCAATATTAATATCTATACAGTATACAATATACATTGTATATAGGCAATATGTATACACTATACAATATACAAATATACATAGTAATTTTATATTATACCGCTCTTTGATTTCTGTAAACATTATTATTACCACGTGGTAATGCGTTAAACATCAACATGGTCCACGAATCTTTATACAATGAACCTAAAAATACATTCAGCCATCTGAGATATTACTTTAAGACTTAAATATTTGTCTGGAATTAACTAATACACTTCGTTAGTATTCGTCGGTACCTTAATTAATATACAATTATATTTAGCGTTTCAAATAATTTAGCCATAGCACGGTTGTGGTCGTCAATCGTGTATAAKTCATTAATATATTTCTGCTTTTGGACGTGTTTTTACCTACTTCATAAAATATTATATTTAATATTTAAATAGTTGTATAAATTTAATATTTTTAACGATTAGATACATCAGTCACTATTGTTCAGACAAAACGTTTAACTCCATTCTTCATTTATCACTTAAACTCATAACCGTAATAATAATAAATATGATGTTATTATTTAAATGTTGAATTTTTTACTCATAAATCATATTTTCTATTTACTATCRAATCAGACTGACTTCCATGACATGACCAGGTACACTCAAAACTTTCAATTAAGCAGAACATTCTCTCCAATGTTTTAATTTGACACCTATTTTACTCGTCAATTTATTGAAATAATCTCAGGTTACATTAGCTCACAATATTGTTTAATGATAACTAATTAAACATTATTATATTTTAGAATGATTTCAATTTGTGTTAGGTTTACCTGGTTTAYACATTTCCGTCGTAACTTTATTATTATATGAGTTAAAAATAAAAATGTATTAATTGTCCAAACTTATTCAAAGTTGTACTATCGTCTTAGCGTCTTATATATCGACAATATATAAACTTAAAATTATTTCCAAAACTATCTCACATATAATATTATTAACATTAGCTATGCAAAATCTCGAAAATAATTGTTTAGCTTGTTCAAGATTCAAGTATTGCATTATTAATTCATTGCATAAATAAAAATAATTTATGTTCGTTTTGACAATAATTTATAATTGAGCCGACTAAATCACATTCAAATTAAATGTTTYGTCGGCGTTTTAAGTGTAATAGTTCTCTTCCAGTACGTTTGCTTATTACATTTAATGAATCCAGCAGTTTATTTAGCATCTCTAAAAAAACATAAAGCTTCACTGAAATTGAAACCAATGCCAAAAAACTTTTAAAAACATTTCACACTAATAATGCCAATTGTATATTTTAATTTATTAATGACGCTTTAATTCCCAAGATCACGTTTTTACAAAAACTAAATATTTTTTGTTTAAGATTTTTWAAAAAATGAACTGAAACTAAAAATTTGGCACTGCCTGGTGAAAAAGGACGTATTAATGCTCTGCTCTGAAAGTCAAAATTTATGGGCCAGTTTTTCAATTAACTTTAACATGGATATTGTTGTCACAAACAATCTTTTATCGTAAAAACACTCTGGCCATAATACGACATCTGAAAGTACTTAATAGGCAGTCCTTGTTTTTTTTATATTTTGTATATAGTTCTCTATTTGTTTTTAAAAACATTTAAAGCTTTACTAAT